GGCTGCTCTGGCCAGGCTGGGGCGCCCCTACCCACAGTGGGCCCCATGGAGTGGGAGCAGCCCCTACCCATGGTTAACCCATTAAATGTAGAATCATAGAATCACAGAATCCTAGATTTGCCTCTGGGGCCAGCTCCCCTCCCAGAGAGCGCTGTGGGAAGCCGGGTTAGAGTGCGGGGCACTGCTCAGCTGGGGCACATTCACATGGTCATTCCGAGCCTCTATGGTCAGACTAGGCATGTAAAACCCCCTTAATTTAATCAGTTAACTAATTAAAGGGGGAGAGCAAGGAGTTAACCGAACATATGGGGGCTGCTCTGGCCAGGCTGGAGCGCCCCTACCCACGGTGGGCCCCATGGAGTGGGAGCAGCCCCTACCCATGGTTAACCCATTAAATGTAGAATCATAGAATCACAGAATCCTAGATTTGGAAGGGACTCGCAAGGTCATCAAGTCCAGTCCCCTGCCCTCACGGCAGGACCAAGCACCATCTAGATCAGGGCTACTCAATTTTGGAAGCCCCGGGGGCCAAAATGATCCTCACAGCACATGCAACTGGGTTGCATATACATGCAAATATATGCAAATATATGCAAATAGCTTCCTCCATACTGATGGGCATGAATACAAAGATTAAGGCAAGACTCCACAATATGCGGGCCCCATTTAAGTTAGTTCTGCTGATATTAATAAAATGCAGTATTTCCCCAATTTCTACCCATATGACAGCACTTTTAATGAGAAATGACAGTCCAGGAATTTAATTACTAAAACACACAGCAACAGAAGAGTATTATATTGACTACTCTTTTGTTTTGGCTTCAAAATTTTTACAAATCAAACAAAAACTGCCAATACAGTACTGGAATTTACTGGAGTAGAAGTGCAATCAATGTGAAGATTGTGTCTACAAACTTTTCACCAGCTGTTTCACATCAGGGTTGTATTCCATTGTAGCAGCACAGAGACAGTCGGTCAGATGTCTGTCAGCAAGGGTGTGTCTACACTACAGAGTTTTTTTGTAAAAAATGGCCGTTTTTTCAAAAAAACGTCAATTCCGTCCACATTGCAATCACATTCTTCTGAAAGAAAATTGAAAGAACAGAGGGGTTTTTCCAACACTGGTAATCCTCAAATTTTTACAAATCAAACAAAAACTGCCAATACAGTACTGGAATTTACTGGAGTAGAAGTACAATCAATGTGAAGATTGTGTCTACAAACTTTTCACCAGCTGTTTCACATCAGGGTTGTATTCCATTGTAGCAGCACAGAGACAGTCGGTCAGATGTCTGTCAGCAAGGGTGTGTCTACACTACAGAGTTTTTTTGTAAAAAATGGCCGTTTTTTCAAAAAAACGTCAATTCCGTCCACATTGCAATCACATTCTTCTGAAAGAAAATTGAAAGAACAGAGGGGTTTTTCCAACACTGGTAATCCTCATTCTACGAGGAAGAAGCTTTTTTTCCAAAAGAGCTCTTATTGGAAAAAGGCATGTGTGGACGAGGTAGAGGGAGTTCTTTCAATAGAAGTTAAAAGAGTTTGCACGGGCACCCTGGTGGCCACTCTGTCCATAGTAATCGAGACAGCGTCCATTCAGTGTGGATGCTATCTTTCGAAAAAGCAGATCGCTTTTTCAATGCACTTTTGCAGTGTGAACACTCTCTTTTGGAAGAAGTTTTTCTGGAAGATCTCTCCCAGAAAAGCTTCTTCTGAAAGAAGCCTGCAGTCTAGACGTAGGCTAGCCGCAGTTTTGACTTGACGATTCCCATGGAGGAGAATGAACTTTCACAGACATATGTAGATCCCAAGCAAGTTAGCACTTTTTTGGCACATTTCAGTAATGCAGGATACATGTCTTTCTGTACATAGGTCATCCAAAATGTTTCAGTGTCCTCTTCCTTATGCGGAGTTTTTCGAAAACTATTGTTTTGCAGTTCTATCATCTCTTCTCCCTCTCAACACCAAATCTCATGGCTGAAGATGACACTGCCTTCACCTCTACTGAAAATAGATTTTCAGTAAATTCAAGAACTGTCTTCAGGGATTTGACATCTAGAAACCGAGAAGAAAAATTGGTTTTCAGCTCTGAGATGTACTCCATAAAAAAATCAGGCAAAAAAGACGCATGTTCACTCCGCTGTGTCACGTGCGAGTTGAGGATGGGAAAATAAGTTAAGTCCTTCTCATAAAGCTGATTTGCAAAAAGCACCAGTCCTGTTTCAAATGCAGAAACATCGCACATCAGAGAAGGCAGGTTTTTTTCTTTGCCTTGAAGTTTAAAATTGAGTGCATTTAAGTAGCGTGTCATTTAAAGTGCAGCAGGGGAGGTTTAGATTGGACATTAGGAAAAAATTCCTAACTGTCAGGGTGGTCAAATATTGGAATAAATTGCCAAGGGAGGTGGTGGAATCTCCCTCTCTGGAGATATTTAAGAACAGGTTAGATAGACATCTGTCAGGGATGGTGTAGACAGAGCTTGGTCCTGCCTTGAGGGTGGGGGGCTGGACTCGATGACCTCTCGAGGTCCCTTCCAGTCCTATTATTCTATGATTCTATGATATCAGCGAGAAAAGCCACGTTTAGCAGGAACGTCTCTGTCTAAACAACAGTAAATCCTGAGATCCTTTGCCTTCAAAAACACGTGTGCAGCAGGCAGTAGATCCATAACCGATCTAACACTTTGCCTTGACTCAGCCATCTAACTTCTGTGAGCATTGCCAGCTCCCCATACTGTGTTTCGTACTCCTCCACGAAAGCTCGAAATTGTCTGTTTCAAGGCATTTGCAACAATGAAGTTGACAATTTTTGTGACACTTTCCATTGTGCTCTTGAGAAATCCTCTCTTCAGTTTGCTGCATAACTGTTCTTGGTGCGGAATGCAATGGGATGAAAAGAAATCTGAAACCTGTGGATTTTTCTTCAGCAAAGAAATTAGCCTCTTATCTTTTCCAACTATGGGAGTGGGGGGAGAGAAGCACCATCTGTTGTTACCAAAGTAAACTTCTTCAAATCAATGTATTTTCCTGGCCCTTCAAAAATTGCCACCAGCTCAGAATAGACATCCTCTCCCCTAGTTTGACCGCTCAAAGTTAGCAATGTAAGCATTTCTTCAACATACTTTTTGACACTGAAAAAACACACCCAGATTATGAGCCGAGATACGTCTGAATGATCTGAAATACTCAGTGCTTTCAATGTCTTTTAGCAATTTAGAAAACAGATCGCCTGAAATGCTTTCAATTCGTGTTACTGCAGTTGAATCAGACACTTGGGCTACGTCTACATTGGCCCCTTTTCCGAAAGGGGCATGCTAATTTTTGAAGTAGGAATAAGAGATCCTCCGGAATAGGGCTTTATTCCGGAGGATCGGGCCAGTCTAGACGCTTTTTTCCGGCTTATCTACAAGCCGGAAAAAAGCGGCGGACACCTTTATTTAAATCCCGCGGGGGGATATTTAAATCCCCCGCGGATTTCCCTATTCTGAAGTTTAAAATTAGCATGCCCCTTTCGGAAAAGGGGCCAATGTAGACGTAGCCCAAGTGTCTGATTCAACTGCAGTAACACGAATTGAAAGCATTTCAGGCGATCTGTTTTCTAAATTTGAAGCGCTGCTTCATTAATTCACCTTAGGTAAAAGGTCTTTTTGATTTAGCTATGTGCCAAGACATTTTGAAGTAGGCTTCTGTAACGGCATCGCTGTCTTTAACTTACAAACAGAACATATCTTGTTGAGTACGGTAACCTTTCAGTAAGGAATGTATCTTAGTTTTTCTTAAATTGCTGTCAGGTTGACACAAGTCTTTGAACTTAAGGTGACAAGATTCACGGTGCCGTTGCAGGTTTGTTTTCTTTAATGCAGCGATAGTCTTTTGACAAAGAAGATACATTGGTTTTCCATTTCTCTCTGCAAAAGCCAATTCCATCTCCCAAACAGGGTTGAAAACCCTGTATTCATCCCACAAGCGCCCCTTCTTTGTTGCCATTTTTAATGCTTCTTATTAAACAGAAAATTGTAGACCAGTGTTTTGGGTGTTTAGCTTGAAGTTTCAGGTTGTGCGTTTCTTGGAGTGATTTCACTGTAAAAAGGAAAGTTTCCAAGCCAGACCACTCCAACCTGGGCAGCGGGGGAGGTGCGCAAGTCAGGCCGGACACGAGAGGCAAAACGGGACAGGTGCCTGGGAGCCCCGTCCTGGATTCCCAGCAGGGCTGATGTCCCCATGTGGGAGTCTGTCACTCCCTGCGGGACGGAGGCAGAGCCGCCCGGCCACGGCGCTGGACCCAAACGTGGCCAGTGTGAGCCAGTCAGCACCTCTCAGGCTCTGCCCACAAGGCTAAGCAGCCAGCACATCCCACAATGCCCCAGTGCTCCCGGCACCTTCTCCCTGGGGGCTAGAAACACTGACGCCCTGTACCTGTCTGTTCCCGCCAGCCCGTCCGCTTGCGTCTTTCAGTGCTCACCTCGCCTGGGAGACACCTCGCCGGTGTGGAGCCTGTTCCCAGTGGAGGCCATGTTCAAAGGATCCATGCGCAGGCCGCACAGTGTGCCACCCGTGAACCCAAACCGCACCGCGGGCCGCAAACAAACGGGCTGCGGGCCGCATGTTGAGTAGCCCTGGTCTAGATCATCCCTGACCGATGTCTGTCCAACCTGCTCTGAAATATCCCCAGGGATGGAGATTCCACAACCTCCCTAGGCAACTTATCCCAGTGTTTAGGAATGTAGTGGGCCGGAGTGGCCGCCCACCGACCCGGAGGAGGAGGAACCCCTCTGGCCGCCATGTTGGGCTAAGGCTGACCCCGCCCAGCTGCCGTTGGAAGCCAAGGGGCGGGCCCAGAACTATAAAAGCCCAGGCAGCAGCCTCAGTCAGGGCTGAGCCAGCAGAGGGACCACAGGCTTGCTCAGGACTCCCAGTCTGGGAGGCTGTGACAGGCCTGGCCTGGCCCCCAACCTTTCAGGAGCAAGAGGCCGCATCCCGCCTTTTAGGAATGTAGTGGGCCGGAGTGGCCGCCCACCGACCCGGAGGAGGAGGAACCCCTCTGGCCGCCATGTTGGGCTAAGGCTGACCCCGCCCAGCTGCCGTTGGAAGCCAAGGGGCGGGCCCAGAACTATAAAAGCCCAGGCAGCAGCCTCAGTCAGGGCTGAGCCAGCAGAGGGACCACAGGCTTGCTCAGGACTCCCAGTCTGGGAGGCTGTGACAGGCCTGGCCTGGCCCCCAACCTTTCAGGAGCAAGAGGCCGCATCCCGCCTACCTGCCTGGGAGGCCAAGGCCCCGCCTGGCCTGCCTACCCCAGCAGGCCCCGCAGAGAACCAGCCTGATTCCGTGCCGCTGCCCAGATCCGGGGGAAACTGCTGCCGCTGCCTGACCCCGAGAACCGGCCCAGACGCCTGATGCCACCTGCACCAGGAGCTCAGATGAGCCTGCAGACCTGCAGAGGAAGGGGCCGGACCGCCGGGACCCCCGTGGGACGAACCTGCCATGGACTCCACGAGCACCCAGCCAGAAAGTCACGTCCCGGCTGAGGGGGAGACCAGAAGTGGCCCAGGGGTTAGTGGGGGCTGTTAAAGCCCCGCTGAGCCCATAGCAGCCTGCACTGCTGCTCCTAGGGCCCTGGGCCGGGGCGCAGTGGAGTGGGTGGGCCTGCACCCCCCCTGCCACCCACCTACTGCAGGCGACTGGCCTGCACTCCTCCTGAACAAGGAGCCCAAATCTGTGTTTGCTTGCAGCCATGCCCAGAACCAGGGCCTGGCCATCCTCTGAACTAAACTGTGGGTGTTTGTTCATTGCCCACCCTGGCTGAGGGCCAGGGCCTCCCCAAACTGACTGTGGTTTGTTGCTGCTGTGCCCTGAACCAAGGGCCTGGCTCCTCCGTAAACTATGGTTGCTGTCACGCCACCAAACCAGGGGCCTGGCTGAACTGGCTGTTTTCCCTGCTGCCACGCCTGCACCCCAGCCGGGACTAACTGTAACTGATTGGGTACTGCCCGTCCTGAACCAGGGTTTGGCTTAACCCCATAGAGAGGCGTGTTGGACTTGCTGCCCACCCTGAGCCAGGGTTGGGCCCGTGTAAATGTATAGACTGTGGTTGGGCCACACACCTGGGTGGGAACCGTGGCTTGCCTTCAAGGGACTGTGTACTGGACCACTGACCCGGAGGAGGAGAAGGAATTCCTCCACCCGCCTTGCTGGGCTAAAGCTGACCCTGCCCAGCCACCTGACCGGAAGCCGATTACAGGGAAAAATTTCCAGTCGGGGTGGTTACTGTCCACCCTAAACCTCCTTGCTGCAATTTAAACCCATTGCTTCTTGTCTTATCATCAGAGGCCAAGGAGAACAATTTTTCTCCCTCCTCCTTGTAACACCTTTTTTGGATATATGAAAACCACTGTCATGTCCCCTCTCAGTCTTCTCTTTTCTAAACTAAACAAGCCCAATTCTTTCAGTCGTCCCTCATAGCTCACACTTTCTAGACCTTTAACCATTTTTGCTACTCTCCTCTGGACCTTCTCCAATTTCTCCACATTTTTCCTGAAATGCGGTGCCCAGAACTGGACACAGTACTCCAATTGAGGCCTGATCAGCACAGAGTAGAGCGGGAGAATGACTTCTCGTGTCTTGCTCACCACCCTCTTCGTAATGCAGCCCAGAATCATGTTTGCTTTTTTTGCAACAATGTCACACTGTTGATTCATATTTAGCTTGTGATCCACCATGGCCCCTAGATCCCTTTGTGCCATACTCCTTCCTAGACAGTCGCTTCCCATTCTGTGTGTGTGAAACTGATTGTTCCTTCCTAAGTGGAGCACTCTGCATTTGTCCGTATTAAACTTCATCCTATTGACCTCAGACTATTTCTCTAGTTTGTCCAGATCATTTTGAATTTTGACCGTATCCTCCAAAGCACTTGCAACCCCTCCCAGCTTCCTATCATCTGCAAACTTAGTAAGTGATCTCTCTATGCCAATATCTAAATCATTGAGGAAGACATTGAACAGAACCGGTCCCAAAGCAGACCCCTATGGAACCCCACTTGTTATGCCCTTCCAGCATGACTATGAACCATTAATAACTACTCTCTGAGAATGGTTATCCAGCCAGTTATGCACCCACCTTATAGTAGCCCCATCTAGGTTGCATTTCCCTAGTTTATTCATAAGAAGGTCATGCGAGACCGTATCAAAGGCCTTACTAAAGTCTAGGTATACCACATCTACCACTTCTCCCTTATCCACAAGACTCGTTATTCTATCAAAGAAAGCTACCAGATTGGTTTGCCATGATTTGTTCTTTACAAATCCATGCTGGCTGTTCCCTATCACCTTATTTTCTTCCAGATATTTGTAGATGAATCCCTTTATTACTTACTCCACTACCTTCCTTGGCACAGACATTAAACTAACTGGTCTGTAGTTTCCTGGGTTGTTCTTATTTCCCTTTGTATAGATGGGCACTAGATTTGCCCTTTTCCAGTCTTCTGGAATCTCTCCTGTCTTCCATGACTTTTCAAAGGTGATGGCTAAAGGCTCAGATACCTCCTCTATCAGCTCCTTGAGTAGTCTAGGATGCGTTTCATCAGGCCCTGGTGACTTGAAGACATTTCGCTTTTCTAAGTAATTTTTAACCTGTTCTTTATTTTAACTTCTAAACCTACCCCATTGCCAATGGCATTCACTATGGTAGGCATCCCGTCCCCTTCCATCTTCTTGACAAAAAAAACAGGTCCATACACAAGAATTTCTGTGGGGGGGTGTGAGCTGTGGGAGGGTCTGGTGGCTGTCCTCCCCACCCCTGTGGCTTGGCCCTTCCCCCTGACCCAGGAGTGAGGACAGGGGCAGAAGGGGAGATTCTGCCCTAGCCTACCCCAGCTGGCCGGTGCATGGGGGTGGGAGGCTGGGGCAATGCACTGCCACCCCTGCCTTCCCTAGGAATCGGCCCCATGGCAGACCACCAAGGACCACGGGGCAGTGCGTTCACACCCTTTACACACACCCCTGCGTACGGGCCTGAAACCTTCACATCTCTAGTTCAGACTCTCACTAACCCCCTGAAATAAGCAAAGAGAGGTCGAAATTCTTCCAGGCCCCAGAGCTGGATTCACACAGGGCCCTGTTGGGCTGGATTCAGCCAATTTTGAGTTACTGGAGCAGAGAATATGTTTATTCATAGGATTAGCTCTTGCACTCGGGGCACTTCCAGGCCTCGGACTGGGGAGAGCGAGCTGGGGGCCTTTGAGCATGGCGAGGTCGGAGCCGAGCCGCGCAGGAAATGGTCACAATCATCAGGGACGATCCAAGGAGAGCCGCTCACCTCAGGCTCCCCACAGGCTGTGGACTGGCGGGGTGAGGTCCTGATCCTCCCTGGGGCCCAGAATGGGGGGGCTCACTGGGCCTTGGGCAAGTTTTTGAGGCTGTTCACTCCCAGAGAAGCAGAGTTTTGTAAGTCTGAGACTGAATTACAGGGGCACCTGGCCAGGGCACCCAAGAGTTCCTGTGCAAGAGCCCTCCCCTCCCAGCAGGCCCCCCGTCCTGCAGCTGCCTGCAACCCCCACCCGGCTCTCCCTGACCCCTGCTCCTCCCGTCTCTCTGTCACGTGTCCACGGCAGGAGGGAGAGCCACCATGGGGGGAGGGCTTACCCTGGACAGCTCCTGGTTCTTCTCCTCCAGCTGCCTCTCCAGCTGCCGCAGATGCTCCTCGATGCTCCCGTGCCGCTCCTCTGCCTAGGAAAACCCAAGCAAGCGTCTAGGGGAAGCCAGCACACGAGGCTTCAGAGAGCCGGCTCCCGGCCCGAGAGCCCCACCCTGCTGCACCCGGGCGCCGCGGTGGCTGGGAGGCCGGGGGTGTCCCCAGGCGCATCCGCGGGGCCTGCTCACTCAGCAGCTCTCCACCGGGCTTGGGGGGCCTTCTCCCCGCTTGGCAGGGGCTCCCCCTCTTGGGGGTCAATCCCTTCCGCAGGAGCCGGCAGACACCCACACACGGCGCCCCCAGCCTCTGTCACCCTTCGCAGGCAGGATCCTGGGAGGCAAGGGGCAGCCATGGCTGGGCACAGCCTACTGAGCACCCAGCAAAGGCCAGCAGGGTCCGCAGCCAGGCAGGAGCAGGGCCACGGAGGAGGCTGACGCCAAAGGCCCCAGCGCCTGCTGCCCCGCCCCTGTCCCCGGGGCTCTCGTGGGCTGTCAGAGACGCTCCTCGGCCGAGGTGCCGGCTGGGTGTCTGGGCTCCCTGGCGGGCAGCAGATGGCAGAATTACTCCGGGGTGGGGCACTGGAATGGAGGCGCCAATGAGGGACCCAGACGCCTCCACCTCCCAGAGCCGCAGACAGCAGGAAGGGTGGGCGTGGCCGTGGCTGGCTAAGCCCCGCCTCCCCGCCCACCGCACTCCC